AAAAAAAAAAAATCAGGGCTTCAACGGGATTCGAACCCGTGACCTCCGCGATACAGGTGCGATGCTCTACCAACTGAGCTATTTCATATAAACTTCACATCATTTCACTCCTCACGGGAAGATATGAAGTCAATTAATTGACCTCGCTCCCAATGTGTCGCTTCATAGCTCAGTTGGTAGAGCATCGCACTGGTATCACGGAGGTCACGGGTTCGAATCCTGTCGAAGCCCTGATTTTTTCAGGCTTCTTCTTTCCAATTGCTCAATTGGAAAATTTACTGTGATGATCATCCTTCACTTTCATCTACAACCGCAGTTCATACATGAATTATTTCCTGTAAACTTCACGTATATTTTTGTACTTACACCTATAGGTATTTTTGTCTTGTTTATCTTTTAAGTTAAATCACACCCACAGTCGTGTTTTATTTTCTCTTGCGCTTACGCGCATCATGATTAAAACTTGTGCATTCGAACTGTGACGTCGATATCTGTAGCATTTACTAGACCTACACCTTGAGGTTAGCATCCTCTGTAAATTGAACTTAAATCAACATGGATTAATAGAACACATGATTTGCCTCAGCATTTTTAATCTTCAGAATGTCGATCCCCATTGGTGGAATTTTCCTTTTCCCAAAAAGAGAATAGAAAATTTACCTCTGTGGGAAAATTAAAGAAATTATAACTGTTTTATTCTATGATTCCATGATATGCTGTAGTCCATTTTTAAATAATCAGTTATGGAAATCTGCCCCTTAGGTGGATAAAAAGGTGGATAAAAAGGATTAACTACTCTGAAGATTATCAAAAGCCACAATGGATTTTTGCCAGTTTCCATAATGGTTAATATGAAAATCCCTGTGGAATTCTGTGATTTCCCATTGTGGGTTTGTGTGATAAACCAACATGTAAAGATTGAGAAAACCATGCTGGAAAGTGTTTTAATTCCCAGACATGGTTACTTTGAGAATAACACTAATGAAGTTCGTTATTACCCATGGTGGAACTGACACTCATCAATGTTAAATGTCAGGTTATCCATTAATGGGAAGAATTCTGTTTTCCCATGAACGGATGTTATCCATGGAAATTAACAAATTCCCATTCACTTTCCCAATCATGTGTTTTTGGAAAATTTTCCTGTGTAGCTACAAGGCCTCATAAAAGACCTAGCAGACAGGTCTGAAAAATCAAAGAGCAAATTCCTAAATCTCAAGGCAGCAAGGGAAAAAGCTAGTAACAGATTTCTGCAGTCACAAGACAACGACTGAGAAAGAGCAATCTGATGAAATACGTTGGGACTGATAGCCTTATTTTAGATTGCGATCTTGTGACTCTGAAGAAAGCAGCAAACACCAAAATTCCGGTTAGCGGAGAAATTGAGTGGCAGCTTCCGTTGATAATTAAATAAATAACACATAACTTTAACCACAAATAACTTTATTTACCAAACACAGTAGCGTGAAAAACATTAACATCGCACACCGAAGGGTCTGAGATCACCTCAACATCTCAAGTTGGGATTTTATTCACTGCGCCACCGCTTAAAAACAAAAGAACAAGCTTAAATTTTGGCCTCTAGGCAGCTTTAAAGCTCCCATTCGACTTGCATTCATAAAAAAACTTCACCCTCGCCAAAAGCACAGGGGACTCGAATACTGTATCAGCAATAACATCACTGGTCCATGCTTAATGCAATAATGTTGTAATAATCTCACAAAAAAGGCTGAGCTTGATGTAAAAAAATCCAACAAGAAAATCTCATGACACAGCACGAGTCTCACAAAGATGCTCTTAAAAAACATCAAAAGCCAACAAAAACAGTAGGACCAGCTCCTGTAGCAAATGCAAGTGCAGAACACTGCTTTGCTAACTTTACTGCAGGGTGCATTCTAGCCAAAGCATGTTTAGAGGCACCTTTGACTGTTAAATTATTTTGAACTGAGCGTCCATTAATTGTATTTTAATGAGCAGTTGTATGGTTTTGGCTGTTGAGACTGCCTTAACTTTGCATGAAGCAAAGTGTTCCAGCTACAGCCAGGCATGTCAAGGAAATTTTTGTATAAGAATGTTTTCTCCATACTTTCTTATTCATTGTTTCTGCATAAATATATGTGAACAGAACACATTAAAAGTTTACTCAGTTGTATAATGAGAGTAGTTAACTTTAGAAAGCAATTTAAATATATGTTTAGTTGTGCATTATATCCCATCATCCTCAGTGAAGGGATCCCATGAGATTGCACCATCCAATCTCAGAATTCAATGCACGTCCTTTCCCGCTTAGAGAGAAAACGTGTACGAATTTAACTCTTCAAAACATTAGCAAAAATTGGAAATTTTTGCTCAACGGACACTTAGAAAGCACAAAATCTGACCTCGGCTATCACAGGGTTCACAGAAAACCACGGTTTTCTCCTGTTTTCCTTCGTTCGAAGACAAACACACGGTGTTTTGTACAGCTCCACGCCGAGGGTTCAAAGTGGCAGATGAGAACGAATACAACGTTTTTCGTTCGGAAGATTTGGAGGATTTAACCTCTGCTGAATCGCTTGACCTACTGGGTGAACTGTAGAGGGAAAAAACTGTACCCAAACCACAGGTTTCAAAAGGGAGCAGTTCCAAACGAAAGGCCACGTTGCCGAACGTTTCTGCTACAAGCAAACCACGTGCTCATTCGCACACTCAACATGAGGCGGTCATGGAAGGCCTTAAAACACTCCAAGAACAACAAACAGCATCTCTAGCCTCGTTAGGGACAGCGATTGCTGATATGGTATCGACTGTGAAAGAATTTATGCACTCTTCTGGGAGCGATACATCCTGGAAGAGGAAAAGAGATGACCTCAGTGAATCAGATGCTGATGAGCACAAGATTGATGACGAGATCGAGTCAGTCGACGTGGACAAGGCGTACGGAAAGCTTGTCAGTGAGGACAAGACGCCAGAAAAACCAGCAGAAGATGAGGACGATGTTCTTGCTGCACTGTCAAAGATTTATGACTCAGAAGGAGCTGGGAGTGATTCAGTTAGTTCACAGTTAGCAAATCTTGTTAACAAAATGGTCAAAACAATGTTGTCAGAGGACAACGCTAAAGAAAAGCTGGGAAAATACTACAGACCTCAGAATTGTGAAAACTTAGTAAGTACAAGAGTCAACCCTGAAATTTGGGCAAAAATGAGATCCAGCTCAAAATCAAGAGATTTAAAAATGCAAAAGATC